TTAGCTTCCGGGCCTGCAGGGAAGACTGACAACAGTATAAAAATGATAACTGATATTATACTGAGAGAAATGGATGGAACGCACAGGAACTCTGTTTTATTATCATCATCATACAATGGTGTGAAGGTGGTATTGGGGTATAGTATACACAAATGTATTCTAATGTAAAAAATCAAAGACTTTACACAATTTTGCAGAGTACAGACTGGCCAATTATCTTGGTCATCAATGGGATGAAGTTTTCAGCATTGCATACAGTAACCTTGCCATGTGGGTCTAGGTAGAAACACATTAAAGCTGGTCATACATAGATCGATATTTGGCAGGTTCAGCAGGAATCTATCAATCCACATTTCATGAACGGGCTTGTTGGTATATTTTTGCTCATTCAGCATTGATCAGTATACTCTGACAGGGTGTTGGAATACAATGACACAGCGGAGAGGATTTTCTCATCCACCTTGAATGTGTGGATGGGAAAATTGGTTCAGTTTTTTCCAGCTTAAAGAAAAAAAAAACTGAGTAATGCATGGTCAGCTTTAGATGTGGTCAGATCTTCTAAAAAAAAAACCTTCTGAAAAAACAACTGCTGCATGTCCTGTTGTAGGAGATAATAGATCAATCCAAGTATAGCCAATGTAATAATGATGGTTCTTGTGAAAGAAGATATGTAGCAATGGAAAGAGCAGCACAAACAGAAAAAAACATTTTCTATGAACTAAAAGGAACAAGCTAGCAAAGGCTTAAAGAGGAATTCCAGGTATGGATATTTTTGCATAGTTATTTGATCCAGCTTGGACCAATGTAACTATTTATAAATCATACCTATGGGATCCCTCTAGAAGTTGAAAAATCACTTAAAGGTAATGCATTGCCTTTAACATGTTCTTTAACACCACGATATAGCCAATAAATCGATACAGTGCAGCTCCTCAGTTCTAGGAGGACGTCCCTGGATGTCCTCCCATGTGCCCCCTAGGGCACGAATCAGACGTGCTTTGTGACCACTGTGTGCCTTGGACACAGCAGATCACAGATCGGAGTAAAGGGCCAATCACAGTGGCCCTATTCTATGTGATCAGCAGTCTCCAATCAAAGATGGCACATTGTAAACAGAGTGAATTGCTTTTTCCACAGTGAGGAAAGTCGAGCCAAACTGTGAGGGGCACAGTGAGTACAGAGTTTACACTGATACACAGTGCTCTAACCATCAGTGCAGCCTCATCAGTGCCCTTATTATCAGTGCAGCCTCATCAGTGCCGCTTATCAGTGCCCATCAGTGCAGCCTCATCAGTGCCCTTATTATCAATGCAGCCTCATCAATGTCGCTTATCAGTGCCCTTATTATCAGTGTAGTCTCATCAGTGCCCATCAGTGCAGCCTCATCATTGCCCTTATCAGTGCAGCCTCATCATTGCCCTTATTATCAGTGCAGCCTCACCAGTGAAGCTTATCAGTGTCCATCAGTGCAGCCTCATCAGTGCCCTTATTATCAGTGCAGCCTCATCAGTGCCCTTATTATCAATGCAGCATCATCAGTGCCGCTTATCAGTGCCCATCAGTGCAGCCTCATATGTGCCCTTATTATCAGTGCAGCCTCATCAGTGCCGCTTATCAGTGCCGCTTATCAGTGCACATCAGTGCAGCCTCATCAGTGCTGCTTATCAGTGCCCATCAGTGCAGCCTCATCAGCATACATCAGTGAAGAAGAAAAATTATCTGCAAAATTTTATAACAGAAACTAGGAAAAACTTTTTTTTCCAACATTTGCAATCTTTCTTTGTATATTTAGCAAAAAATAAAAACCCCAGTGGTGATTAAATGCCACCAAAACAAAGCTCTATCTGTCTCAAAAAATTATAATAATTTAATTTAAAGCGATTCTAAAGGCTTTTTGTTTAAGGAAAAAATAACAAACATGTCCATACTTACCTGCTGTGTGCAGTGATTTTGCATAGAGCAGCTCAGATCCTCATCTTCTTGGGTCCCCCACCAGTGCTCCTGGCCCCTCCCTTCTGTTGGGTGCCCCCAGAGCAAGCATTGTTCACACAAGCGTTCTACAGGATATACCCATGTGAGGGCCGTGTTTGACTGCATGGGAATGCACATGTGTTCTGTTCATCCCTGTGCAGGCAGTTCCATTCATGTCAATTGGAACGCAGTGTGACTGCACGGACACAGGCGTGAGGGCGTGTGTCCCCAAACTCAAACTGTCTGTGTTCAATGCATGCATCCACACCCGCATTGCTGTCAAATAGAGAGCGGTGCCTGTTTCCGTACAACTGCTACGTCCTGATTAACATCAATGGGACTGTCTGCATGGGAATGCTCGGAGCACCTGTGAATCCCCATGATGTCAATCACGCCCCTCGCACATGCATACGCTGTATTATGCCCCTGTGAACAAAGCCTAACCTTTTCAAAACTGGGCAAAGTCTGACATCTCACATACATGTTAAAATTACTTAGAACCCCCAAATATTATATACAGTATTATTTGAAAGCAGAGAGCCTGGAAAATAAAATGGTGGTTGTTGCAATTTTTATGTTGCTTCATATTTGCACAGGTATGGGTGTACCATCCTCCTCTCTGTGCTTACCAGAACAGATAGGTGGTAGCAGTCCTGGGCTCCTTGATCGCACTGGAGAATCCGGAATGGTGACAGGGGAGGGGGGGGGCTCTTCCACACCCTGTAGAAATGATTGAGTGGCTGTAGAGCCGCTCAGATCACTTCTACAGGAAAACCCATCGCTGGCTGAAAATATTTATACCATAATCATGGAATGAAAAGTTTTGTAAACCAAGTATCATAGATATACCCATATGTGATATAAAAAAATAAGCCATAAAAATCTATAAAACTAAAAAGGAAAATAAATTGATCAAAAGCCCATTTTAAGCGCCGAACTCACTTGTGTAGGAAGGCCCCATATGACTCCTGCACGATGGTCTTCTGAGCCTGGCGTATTCGTTCACGCTGCTTCTTGTCTGGAATAGCCCAAGACTTTTGGATCTTGCAGATCTCATCCAGACCTTCGTTAAACCCCTTAGGGATTTTAAGTTTGAGATTAAAATAAAGCCACATACTGCAGAAATATAGCATTTATTTAACTTAAAGGCACTCTGTTATGAGAAATGATGGAGGCTGTCATTGATGAACTCTCCTTTTTATATCTATACTGAATGTTGAAATGCGTTTTTATTACAAAATATATGAAAAATATTTTTTTTAAAATACACCTCAAATATACTGTATGTCTAAAAATACAAATCTACATTTTTGGAATGCATTTACAAATATATGCAAAAATATATGTTAAAATAACTTTTTTATATGATAAAAAAAACTGAATATATTTAAAAAATATATATATTTTTCTAAAATATATTCTTCAGATTTTTTTTAACATATAAAAAAGTCATTTTAACATATATTTGTAAATGCATTCCAAAAATGTAGATTTGTATTTTTTAAAGACATACAGTATATTTGAAATGTATTTTTAAAAATATTTTTCATATATTTTGTAATAAAAATGCATTTCAACATGCAGTGTATATATATATATATATATATATATATATATATATATATATATATATATAAAAATATATATTTTTTTTTTTTTTGTTAAATATATTATGAAATATATTGAATATGGCCAAAATTGTAGTATTTCAAATATATTTTTCTTCCATATGGGAATAGCCTAAATTAAACAAACGTTAGACAGCAATCCTAAAAAGGTGCCTCTATGGTAAAATTGGCTCTTGGGGTAGAGTTCCTCTTTAAGTCAGACAAAGTGAGCAATCGAGGACTTTTAAAAGAAACCATCAATGGCAGCCTCATACATCTCTTAAGCAGAATCATTTTAAAGTACAACTGACATCACATAAATATTCAGAAAGCAAGGATTTTTTTTTTACATTGAAGTGTTACTAAACCCACAACAGTATAATCAGTCTGTATATGCAGTAAAACATGCTTGTTATACTCACTGTGGAACCTAAGGGGTTAATCCTTTACATCTGTAAAAAGGCTGTTTGATCCTTTCTTCTCTGCCCCTCCTCTTGTTCAAATGTCCACGACTTATCTCCCGATAAGGCAGACTGAACCTGTAGCCCTTCTGCACATGCTCAGTTTAGTGTGTATTGCTAGAGGGATTTTTCTTTTTTTTTCTTGGGAGAGTGCATGTGATCGGCACAGGGCCAATCAGCACAGTCCAGGCAGAGGTCAGGGGTTTTGCATCCTCCTAGAGCAGAAAGAAAACTCCTCCTACAAGCTTTAACCAGTGCTCAGCTGAAGTCACAAGACTGCCCTAACTGCTGACGAGAAAAGGTATTTAGCAGTTTATATTTACTAAAATAACTGCATTTCCATGTTGTGAGTACTGGGGAGACCAGATATAGTGAATGCAGGGTCCTGGGTTCAGTGACACTTTAATGCATTCACTGCAAGAAGGTGAAGAAACATTCCACTAGTTGTTACCCCCCCCCCCCCCCACCCTAAACACTTACCCAAGCCCTGTATCGATCTGGCGCTGTTCCCGTTTGCAGAAGAGTTGGTTATCTCTGCCCTCCCACACGCTCAGACAGCAGCAGAAGCCATTGGCTCCTGCTGCTGTCAATCAAATGCTGTGAGGAGGGAGTAGGGGGTGGGGTTGATCTGTGCTGTGTGTGTCAATAGATGCACACAGTCCAACTCAAAAGTGAGTCCTGCCACCGTAGGAAGTGGCTTCCTATGGGCCACACAAAGAAGAAGGGGAGTCGAGAGCACAGGCATGGGACCCCAGAAGGGAAAGTTCAGGGCCGCTCTATACAATGGTATTGCAGTGGGCAAGTATAATATGGAAAGCGTAACATGTCTGTTATTTTAAAACACACACACATATAAAAAGTCTTTACAACCTCTTTAATTTACCTTAAAACGTTCTTTTATGATCTGTCGCTCCTTGTCTTTTAGCTACAGTAGGTGAGAAAGTAGAGTAAGATTCAAGTTTTAAAGGTAAAAAGAATCAAATGAAATACATGTTTTGGTCAGAGGACAGTCACCTTGGCTTGAAGTGCTGGCATGTTCTTGTCATTAACATAGTCAATCACTTTTGACCAGCTAAAAGAAAAAAAACAAAAAAAAAAGGAAAAAAAGAACACATTAGTACTGGCCAAAACAAAACAGCTGGACCAAATCTACAGGACTATCACTCACCATATTGGCAGATACACTACATGTTCAAAAGTATTTTATACGTAAATCAGTGTCAAAACAATTCAATTACCCTGTAAAAAACACTCTAAAGAAGTCTCACTTTCACCCTTGAAAGTATAAATTCTGATTGTTTATATTGATTATATGGACACTAAGAAGGGTATTTTTTATATGTACACTAAGGAGGGTATTCAGTCAATTAATTTAAACAAAATAACAAAAATAAAGTCCATAAAAATTTCTTCCAAAAAAACTCGCCATGTAAATCCAGTATGTGCTGTGTACCTCAAAATTAAAGAAAACTCAATAGTGCATTATCCTCACATAATTTCATCAAAATATCACAAATACTTGTACCAAAAAACCTTATAGGTCTCATGCAAAACACATAAATCGCGCAAACACGTGGTGACCTGTGAAATACGTGATAGTGAACCACTCTGTGTATTTATAAAATACTTCAGTGAACACTCAGTGTACACATCTAATGTGGTTGAATTGCATACCCTTACCCAAATAAGTAACCATGTGTTTGCGCGATTTATGCACACTGCTTTGCATGGCTCTGCATAGCAGTGTGTTTACTGTGGAAAGCACACACAGCACACATAGTGAAAAACAGCACAGCACACAGTTAACCCTTTGATCACCCATGTTAACCCATTGCCATTGGTAGAGTGTCAGTGCTTTTTATTAGCACTGTATTGGCGTCACTGGGGATGTCAGTGACACCAAGTCAGAATGCCCGCAGCAGTCCCACAGTCCTGCTATAAGTCGCTGATCGCCGCCATTACTAGTGAAAAAAAAAAATTCCAGTATATATACACTACCATTTGTAAACGCTATAACTTTCACATAAACCAAATAATTTACACGTATTGGGATTTTTTTTTTAGCAAAGACATGGAGCAGAATACATTTTGGCCTAAATTTATGACTAAATTAGATTTTTTACATTTTTTTATATGTTTAATAGCAAGCAGTCAAAAAATTTATTTTTTTTTCAAAATTGTTGGTCTTTTTTTGTTTATAGCTCAAAAAATAAAAACCGCACAGGCGATCAAATACAACTGAAAGAAAGCTCTATTTGTGGGGAAAAAGGACATAAATTTCATTTGGGTGCAGATTCGCAAAAAAATGGCCAGGTCAGGAAGGGGGGAAATCCTCTGGAGGGCAAGTGATTAATAAAACAATTATGTTTTATAATTGATGAATATTGTACTTAATTAGTGGTCAGATTATTATTTAGGGACATTTGCTATGGTCTCTACTTGTATTGCTTATACACGCAACGTTGAGTTGGCTAGGGTAGAGAGTGTCATCCATTGCTTTTCTCTTTTTCCTCTGCGGAAATGATCTGTAGAAAGAATGGTTTACAGTGTAGGACTGTATTACTGGATCTGTGAAAAAAAACAACCTTCTTTGGTATGTCTCGATCTGTTGTTTTATGTGTTCCCGGTATACATTGTCAGGGTTCTTCTGGGTCACAGACACCAACTGCATGAGCTCTGACCTAGAAAAGAGAGACATGTAAGCTTCAGCCTGCAGACAGAATTTTCTCAGTTTTCAATTCTATAATGCAGGGCTGTCAAACTGGCGGCCCTCCAGCAAAACTACAAGTCTCATCATGTCTCTGCCTTTGGGAGTCATGCTTGTAAATATCAATCTTGCAATGCCTCATGGGACTTGTAGTTTGGCAACAGCTGGAGGGCCACCAGTTTGACACCCGTGCTATAGTGCATCACTACACAGGATACATTTTCCTTTGCTCAGAATTCCCTTACTTCTCCAGAGACTTGAGGATGTAGTTATCGTTGTTGTGCAGGAAAATAGCTCCCAGGGCCAGATCCTCGTACATCTTGGACTTAGACAGTAGTTTGAGCTGCAGGTTTCCTAGGACTTTACCTGAAAGCCACAGGTACAACACAAAGTTAGTAGTCACTAATATGATATATGGAACTATTATATATGGAACACCAATGTCATAGGAACATCAATTTCAATTCTGCAGGCAGGTCACAGATGGACAGTCTTCTTAGCTTGCTGCACTGTCAAAAAAATGTAGCAGGAATTATCATGAACCTTTGCTTTGCCTATGCAGGACAAAACAACAGGTTCACTTAAATGCAGACCTTCCCAGCGGCCTATGCTTACCTTCCCTAAAACTGAACTAAACCCTCTGATCCTCTGCAGCCAGGGAAGATGCCATCTTAGCCTCTGTTTGATCTGCAGTTGCAGTGTGATCATTTATGACACCTGTCATTTGAAGGCTTGACAGTTCGATTGACAGCACAAGCAACTGGGACTATCATTCACGGCATGCTTTAAATGTATACGTTTTGGGAAACGGTTAAAATTGATGGGTTTAGTTCTGTTTTAAAACGGAAATAAAAGTTAATATAAAAAAAAAATTACATTGTCCTGGTCTTTCCATGATCTGGTGTAAAGTCTCTGAGGTGGCTTCTTCCTTGGTGGATACTCAAGTGACTTTGTCTATGCAAGTTTGTTTACTGGGAACTCCCATTTCGGGGACCCAAGCCAATGTAATGAGGCTGATTCACACTATCTGTGTCTCTACCTTATGGGCCATTGCCCTCCACTGGAAGTCACCGCTGGTACCTTTAGCTTCTGTTTTGCGGAGAGTCGATATATTGATGCTCATGGAACGTATTCAATATACGTTGCTAGATAGGATGCACATATTCAACAGAAAATGGGATGGTTGGAAAACACATCGGCATATATTGTTCGACTGACAGACTATCATAGATTGATTGGTATTGAATCTTTTTTGGTTGTGTGCAGGGGCGGACTGACAACTCATGGGGCCCCCGGGCAATAGGGGATCATGGGGCCCCTGTGTCCTGCCCAAACTCAAAAAAGCCTATGAAAAAGGTACCAGGGACATCTCATGGGGCCCCCTACTGACCCCGGGCCCTCGGGCAGTGCCCGAGTTTCCAAATGGTCAGTCCGCCCCTGGTTGTGTGCTTGTTTTGCATATCTTACTGCCTACCTCATTCATGTACTTGAATTGGATTTTTCTATGTTTGTGTTTTATAATACTGTTGATTACTTATGTGCCTTTTTCTTTATGTATTCTATACCTCATGAAGTTGTGCTGTTCTTGCATTCTATCCCTTAATAAAATAATTTGTTTAAAAAAAAAAAAAAATTTGCAAACAGGCAGGCTTATTATTGCAGAAGAGACATGTAAGGCCTCTTCAGCAATAAAGTACACTTACCTGCCTGTTCGCAATCCTCTGCAGAATGCACACTGAGCTGTGCATTTGTGGGAATAAAGTCATCCTGTGCTGGCCAATTGCAGTGATTGACAGCCGATATCTGGAAGAACCCAAGAAGATGGCAGCACTGTGGAGGGACCTCATGGTGCTGAACCATTGGCACTTAGGTAAGTAATTGTGGCTTTAGTTCTGCATTAAGTTTTTAAGGTGTTCCATTCAGCTGCATGGAACTGAAGAAAAGACCTGTGTAAGCTGTGGGTCACTGGAGTCCTAAAAGTCCTATAAACTCTGCACTTATGGGTCCAGCATTGATAAATAGAGTGAGTTATGTGCTCCTTCATGACATGAAGCTTGGAGTCTTTTCTTCAAGCCTAAGAGTAAAACAAATCTAAATGCCTAAGCACAATTTTTCAACGTTGACATGTGTTAGTAAAACTATACATATCATCACAACTACTTTGTATATCCAGGTAAATTATACCGTGTTTTTTTCAGGACAAATTGGGCTTTCGTTTGGTGGTAAATGGTAATGGATATCTCCTGATTTTTTTTTTTTTATCAAAGAAAAACTGTCCCAAAATAGTAAAAAAAAAAATATTTTTTTAATTTAGCTGTGTGTTTCTTGTTACTACCATACCCTACCATCAAAGAGCAACCCAAAATAAAGTCTCCAGCTCTTGACGATTGCAGCGATACCCATATATGTGTATGTTAGTTGTTGTTTGTGCCCATAGTACAGCCCAGAAACGATAGTGTGCATTTTGTTTTGTTTTATTTTTACCTAAAACACGACACCAAATTTTTTTAAATTCAAATCCTAACATTTGACCCTGACCTTTTGACATTGACCCTGACCCAAACACTTACTCTGGCACTGAACTAGATCAAACCTTGATCTAGGTATTTTTTCTTTATGTTTTATTTAATTTTTTAATATTTATTATATATATATATTTTTTTTTTTTTTACAAACATTTTTTTTTCCTCTATGCCAGGAGTTAGAGAGATACAATGTATCTCTCGCCTCCATTCATAGAGAGAGATAAAAACAAGGGGGCAGGCTATACATTGACTGAACACTGTGATAGCCAATCAGAGGCTGTCACAGCGATCCTGTGATGCAGAATCGGGAGTCCCGGGTCCCGATCATTAGAACGGGAGCCAGGGCTCTCAGTGACACCGCAGTCTTTGTGGCGGGAGCGCGTTGTGCGGCGTTCTCCCAGCACAAAGACAGGTACGCAAATATGCGGCCCCACGAAAAAAAGCCCAGTTCTGTGAGGCCGCTTATTTGTGTTACGTCGGTGTTAAGGGGTTAAGCTTTCAACACTGAAGAGATTTGCGGGAGAGCAAATAAAGCGTCAGTATATGCTACTGGGTAGGGGTGAGGTTAAAGCATGCATATTGATCTGCTTTGAAAATTTGCTTCAAGAGGCACGGGGGAAAATGGCAAATGCATGTCACTTAGCATACAGTGTACAACATCCAGACTCACAAAAGCAATGTGACGTAGGGTTTATATACACAGGCTTCAGATCCAGAAGCAAGTAAATGAGGTATGTTTTCAGAGGAACATGGGTGCTTTGGTATTGCTTTGACTTTCTTCTGAGTTGCTCATGATCAATTTACAACATGCCTGGGTTGCTTTAGTTTGCTTTGATACCTATACTCTTCTTTGCATCTGAACTGGTTTTCTGCCCAACACAAGTCAATGCGGATATAACAGCATGCAGCTGTTGAGCAACAGAAAGAAACACAGAAGCAGGACAGATGCGAAGAAAGTAACTCCGAATTTCCAGAAAACATACAACTTTTGACTCACTTCTGAGCATAATGGCAATGTACAGGAATTCTTATTGTGTCAAAATGTGCACAAAATCCACATGATAAGTCCCAGCACTCAAAGATGAGCACCTGGATGAGTTCAGATGTGTTTAGACACGAGTTCGGACCCACATTAGCTATCCCCCCAGGAGGGTGGTCACTGCAGACAGCCAATCGTAAGCAGTCGCTGCATTCCCCACCCCACAGCCACATGTATATACGCCCCTTGTATACGTGCGGCTGTGGAGGCAGGGAATACCTCGACCACTTATTTATTTATTTCAGGTACTTATATAGTGCTGTCAATTTACGTAGCTTTACATATATATTGTACATTTACATCAGTCCCTAACCCTCAAGGGGTGAACAATCTAAGGTCCCTAACTTACATTCATACATACAGTACTAGGGCCAATTTAGACAGGAGCCAATTAACCTACCAGCATGTTTTTGGATGTGGGAGGAAACCAGAGTACCTGGAGGAAACCCATGCAGGCACGGGAGAACATGCAAACTCCAGGCAGGTGGTGCCGTGGTTGGGATTCGAACCAACAACCCTAGTACTGCCAGACAGAAGTGCTAACCATTTAGCCACTGTGCTGCCCTTTTGATTTATGATTGGCTGTCAGCAGTGACAGCTTCCTGGCAGGGTAGCTCATATGAGTTCAGATTAGGATTCCAACACGTCTGAGCTCAGCCCTACCGAGGACCAACAAGGCACCTGAAACCCACAGAACATGTCTGATGAGCAGAACAAGCTGAATACTCACAGATATAAGTACTGAGGAGACGTCGGCTAAATTCAGTGCTGTAGCTGCTGGCAGTGGAACTGCTCTCTGAAAAACATACAGCAAACAGATTACAGGATGGTAATATTTTAGAAGCTCTTAACGTGTTACTAAACCCCGGACCCTGCATTCACTATATCTGGTCTCCCACAGCACACACAACATGGAAATGCAATTATTTTAGTAAATATAAACTGCCAAATACCTTTTCTTTCTCATAAACAGTTAGAGCAGTCTTGTGACTTTTATCAGTGTCCAGCAGAGCACTGGTTAAAGCGTGTTGGTGGAGTTTTCATTCTTCCCTGAATGTCCTATGAGGCTGCATAACCCCTGACCCTCTGTCTGGACAGCGCTGATTGGCCCTATGCTGATCACATGCACTCTCCCAAGAAAAAAAAAAAAAACTCTCTAGCAATACACACAAAACTGAGCATTTGCATCTTGCCCCCGAGGCTCTGTTCTATCAGCAGATGGAATGGGGATAGTAAAAGAAGGGGAGGATCAGAGAAGAAGGGATCAAACATCCTTTTTAACACAAAAGTGAGTATAACAAGCATGCTTTACGGCATACACAGACTGATTTTACTGTTGTGGGTTTAGTAACACTTTAACTTTGTGTGCGATAACTTCAGTATACCAACAATGCTAACAAAAGAAATGAGTTTCTGTAGTCCAGTCACGGAACTGAAGTTCATATATACTGCAATCATCCACCAGGGTTTTTTATTTAAATTAAATATGAAATTAAAAAGTTGCCAGATTCATACTTTTGCGCATACACATGACGTAGATACAAATGTACAGATATACTACACATAATATCCTGCCTATGTATGTCTTGATAGCCAACTTATACAACAAGAAAGGAAGAACAATAACTATGTACACCACACTGATGGGTGAGAATAACAGTCATCCTAGACAAACATGGACAGTGCTGCAGGAATGGATGTTTGTGTAGGTCTGTTATATATCCCCTAAATAAAGATGATGTACAGCATATGAGGGAGTCAGAAAACTGGGTTCATTGTGGGAGCGATATTACAAGGTCTATGAATGGAGGAGGGGGGCAGAAAGGATGGGCATAGTCAACACTTCAAAAATACCTGTGATAGGTGCAGTTGTTCATATTCAGAGTGTCCTCCTAGAATATGTGATGTGTGTGTTTAGCCCCCAAGTGCAGAACCTTACATTTATCAACATTAAAACTCATTTGCCACATAGTTGCCCAATTACACAGTGCATTGAGGTCGGCTTTTAAGTTGAAGACATCCTGTAAGGACGTTATTCCACTGAATAGTTTGATGTCATTATAAACATCAATTTCAAATTCTTTGCAGCCAGGGGAGATCCATAAACGACTGGTCTCTGGTCTCCCTCATCTCCACCCAGAAAATACCCACCATGTGGGTTCTGGGCCCACGACGCATTGAGGGGCACACAATTCAAGGGGTCAAAGAAAGCAAATCGGGTAGCTGTAGAGTGGTGGGAAAACTGTTGCTGTTTTGGTGAGAAGAAAATGGCAGTCATATTTCTGTGCAGGGCTTCTTTTGACAATATGCTATGTGTACACAGGAGATCAGCTTAGCATGCAGTCACCAGAAGCCCTGGACAGGAATACTTTTTGGCCCTAATGATATGTATCTCAAACTAACTACTTATAGCAGCCTTAAATTATTTGAAATATATACAGTATACACGGTGTGTGTGTGTGTGTGTGTGTGTGTATATATATATATATATATTTTTTTTTTTTGTTACATCATATACAAACTATGTACCTAAAGGTTTAAGCAAGTATTCCCTATAATGGTCAGGAAGAAGCCAAGAAACACCTGAAACATGTCAACAATTTCAAAGAAATAAATGTAGTATGCGGAGTATTGTAATGGTCTTCAAAAACCACTTCCCGTCCTGCCCATGTACATAAACGGTCGGATGGCTGCAGTGCCGAAGTGGGTGGCCATTTATAAACGCATGTTTCTAGACAGGCTAATTTGGTTTTTTATAGTTGGCTAACTGGCTGGCAGTTTGAACTGGCTTTTCTTATCTCCCCTTGTTGATAAGATGTACATATCCTTGTTCCTTGCCAATAATAGCCGCTATTAGACTGGGGTAGGCTGGCAAGTTGAACTGGATAGTTCTACTTTTTGGAAATTTTTCACATAGTGACAGCCCCCCATGTTCACTGTTTAAAAAGCCAGTTATAGACCTGGGCAGGTGATCAGTTTTTTCTTTCCATTTATAAATGGCCCCCGCATCGACTGCCTGCGCACGCTCCACATCCACTGCCTGTATGGGACCTCTGTGTGAGGTCCCGATTCATGTGATCTCCGATTGGCCAATCAGTGACCACATGAACAGTAGTAAACAAGATGTCACTTCCCGATATCATTGCTTACTACATATGAAATCTGTGAATGATCACAGAGGTCACATGGTGCAAAGCTATTCACAACAGCCTTGTACCATGTGACGAGCTGTGACCAATCACAGCTCACACAGTATTTCTCAATGGATGCAAGAATGCAGCCAGAGAGAAGGAGAAATGATTGCTTTTACAGCCTTTATGGGTGTAAAAGCAATCAGTGTAAAAAAAGAAAAAAAAAAAACTTAATCGCCACCCACAAGTAGTACAGTGTCACTATGGTGACACTGTACTGCTAGGGCGGGTGTCGGCAACCCGCGGCTCTTTTTCATCTTTGTTGCGGCTCCGGAGCACACACACTGCCCACCAGGTGACAGGCAATAGGGTTTCAGCAAACATTGGCTGTCAGGATGTAGGCGGGGCAGCGTGACGAACTCCTCTCCTCTCACAGTCCGCCCTGAAGACCGGAACGGCGTGGGAACACGGCGAGAGGAACACGCGGAGCAAAGGTAAGTCAATTGACACAATATGGGGAATGAATTACTATAGGGGGGATGAATTACTATATGGGGGATGAATTACTATGTGGGGGATGAATTACTATGTGGGGGATGAATTACTATGTGGGGGATGAATTACTATGTGGGGGATGAATTACTATATGGGGGATGAATTACTATATGGGGGATGATGAATTACTATGGGGGATGAATTACTATATGGGGGATGAATTACTATAGGGGGGATGAATTACTATGGGGGATGAATTACTATATGGGGGACGAATTACTATGGGGGATGAATTACTATATGGGGGATGAATTACTATATGGGGGATGAATTACTATATGGGGATGAATTACTATGTGGGGGGTGAATTACTATATGGGGGATGAATTACTATGGGGGATGAATTACTATATGGGGGATGAATTACTATATGGGGGATGAATTACTATATGGGGGATGAATTACTATGGGGGATGAGTTACTATATGGGGGATGTATTTTCAGTTTTAAAAATGTGGCTCTCAAAATAAAAAGTATGCATTTGGAGTGCTGTCGATCTTCGGCTCCACATATGTATGTGAGCAGGTCTTCTCCAACATGAACTATATTAAAAACAAACATCGATCACGCCTCACAGATGACAGCTTGCAAGCCTGTGTGAAAATGAAGGTGACGTCTTACAGCCCTGATGTGCAGACACTGTGCACTGAGGTTCAGGAGAAAAAATCCCATTAACCAGATAAATTAAATATTTTAATTAGCTATTAATGTGCAAAAATATATTTTACATTGTTAAGTGAAAAAGTTATTTTTTTCTTCAGATTGACAGCTAACTGCACGATCCTGTATATAGCATTAAGGTAAGAAACAATATATGCAGTGTCGGATTTGTTTTAAATGTTGCAATGGTTTTGCGGCTCCCAGTCTTTTTTTTCCCTTCGGAAACGGGTCCAAGTGGCTCTTTATGTCTTAAAGGTTGCAGACCCCTGTGCTAGGGTGACAGTATGCTAAAAAAATAAATTAAATTAAATAAAAATGTAGAAAACATTTTTTAAAAATTATAATTTTTGGTTATAAACTAATTTGGGTTTTTTTTACTAAAAAGATAGCTGAATACATTTTGGCCAAGAGTTATGAAGAAAGATTATTTATTTGCAAAATTGTATAAGAAAAACACTTTTTTTTCAAAATGTTTGGACTTTTTCATTTATATAGCAAAAAAATTAAAATCCCAGTGGTGAATAAATATCACCAAAATAAAGTTTTATCTGTCTCAAAAAAATGCTAAAAAATTCATATGAGTACAGTGTTGCATGACCGCGCAATTGTCATATAAAGTGTGATAGCACTGAAAGCTGAAAATTGGCCGGAAATGGGAAAGGGGTGAAAAAGTGTCCTCCGGATTTGAAGTGGTTAATATGTATATATAATATATATATATATATATATATACACACATACATATACACACACATACACAGTTGTGCTCAAAAGTTTACATACCCTGGCAGAAATTGTGAAATTTTGGTATTGATATTGAAAACATGACTGATCATGCCAAAAAATGCTCTTTTATTGAAGGGTAATGATCATATGAAGCCATTTATTATAAAATAGTTGTTTGGCTCCTTTTTAAATCATAATGATAACAGAAATCACCCAGATGGCCCGGATCAAAAGTTTACATCCCCTGGAATGTTTGGCCTTGGCACAGACACACAAGGTGACACACACGGGTTAAAATGCCAATTAGAGGTTAATGTCCCACATCTGTGGCTTTTTAAATTGCAATTAGTGTCAGTGTATAAATAGTCAATGAGTTTGATAGCTCTTACATGGAAGCACTGACTAGACTAGATACTGAGCCATGGGGATCAGAAAAGAACTGTCAAAAGTCCTGCGTAACAAGATAATAGAACTTTATAAAGATGGAAAAGGACATATAAAGATGTCCAAAGCCTTGAATATGCCAATCAGTACTGTTAAATCACCTATTAAGAAGTGGAAAGTTCGGGGATCTCTCGATACAAAGCCAAGGTCAGGTAGACCAAGAAAGATTGCAGCCACAACTGCCAGAAGAATTGTTCGGGATACAAAGGGAAACCCATAGGTAACCACAAGAAAAATACAGGCTGCTCTGGAAAAAGACAGTGTGGTTGTTTTGAAGGAG